TTCTCTCGGAAGCTCGTGCCTTCCTGCTGGGTCCCAGTGGGTTCCTTCTTCCGAGAAAGCAGGGCTGTGTGGTGCTAGGTGGCCCTGCTGGTCTGGGACTGGTACATTGCTTTTGTCCAGAACCCCGTCCCCATGCGCTGTGGCTGTGCCTGCCATTGGCACCATCTAGAACTGCAGCCACCCTTGGTAGCATCCAGGGGCTGCTGTTCCTCCCACCCCTGTCCTTGCAGAGTGCTTGTGCCAGGCAGGTGTCTTGCCCACCTTAGGGCACGGCTGGCCTGGAAGCATGAGCTGGGCTTCTGCTCTAATTTTTTTTTGGTCTTTTTTTGTAGGCTGGATGAAGATGGCAAAGTCCTCACTCCAGAGGAGCTGCTCTATCGAGTGAGTAGGTGCTCCTGCTCCTGCCCCCGGAAGCCTTCTGTGAAGAGACCTTAAATGGCTGCTCTGGTCCCACCAAGAGCCCAGAGCTCCTGCCTTGCAAGCCTCGGGCAGCAGGTGGTGCCACAGGGGAGGCTGGGGGGAGGCACAGGCAGGCATGGGGATCCCACCCCATTCCCTCCTGCGAGAAGGTGTTCGCGGGGCTGGTGGGAAGCTCTGGCTTCCCGGGGATCGTGGGTCCTCCAGCCCTGGCAACAGAGAGATGATGGGGAGAGCCAACCCCAGGATGCTGGGTCACAGTGGCTGGCCCATCACAGCCTGGGCCCCAGGGAAGGGGGTAACGGGCTCCTCCCCTCATGCAGGCGGTGCAGTCGGTGAACATGACGCATGACACCGCGCATGCTCAGATGGATGTGAAACTTCGCTCCCTCATCTGTGTGGGACTCAAGTGAGTCATGGAGCCCTAGGACCTCCTCGGAGCTGCTTGTGCTCTGAGCTTGGGGCAGGCTGCCAGGGAGGGAGGGGGCTGTGGGGAAAGGCTGGGAACCAGCCACTTCACGCATAGCCAAGCCTGCCCAAAATGGCCCCCCGGCATTGGTGGCTACAGGGCACTGGACTGGCTGGTTCCGTATTGTCAGGTGCATTGGCCCAGCCCCATGTGGAGAGGAGGCACCTTGTGGGCCAGAGGTTGGGTGAGGAGCTGAGTTGCCCCCCAAAGGGGCCGGGCTCCCAGGCTCCTTCTTCAGTAGCTACTTGTAACTCCCCCTTCAGTGAGCAGGTGCTGCACTTGTGGCTGGAGGTGCTATGCTCGAGCCTGCAGACGGTGGAGAAATGGTTTCACCCCTGGTCCTTCCTGCGCAGTCCTGGCTGGGTGCAGATCAAGTGTGAGCTCAGGTGAGTGTGTGCAAGGTCCCCCTTCCGCTGGTCCGTGTGGATCTGCAGAGAGAAGTGTCGCTGAGCCAGGCCCGGCCTCCTTCCAGCGGTGGAAGCAACACCTCAGGGGTGGAGAGGCTGCTGACCAGAGACAGCTGAGTCTGACCCTGACTGTCATGGGGAGAAGCTGCCTTCATGGTCCCGAGGGCCTGGTGGTGGAGTAGGGAAGTATGCAGCTGCAGACTGGCCCCGTGGATCCTGCCAGAGAAGACTCATCCCCCAGGCTTAGCACATGGAAGGCCAGGCAGGGGGTCCAGCACCAGGCTGAGCAAGCACAGGGGCTGGCTGGGCAGGGGATGGTGGGGAGGGTTGGCCATATGCCAGAGGCAGAACTGAAACATGCCACACCATCCCTCCTTCCCCTGTGAGCTGTGGTGGCTGCCTGTTTGTGGCTGCTGCTTTCCACCGGAGGCCCCTCCCAGCCAGGCCCTGCAGGATGCAAGCGGCAGGGTGTGGCCTGCTGGGTGGGGACTGCTGTCCTCAGCCCTGGCATGGGCTTGGCTGCCAAAGCTCCAAGCGGTCCTCGTGTAACCAGGCAGGTCTGAGCAGCTGTGCAGCTGGGCTGGGTGGGGGGAGCTTGGCCCCCTCACTGCTCCTGGGGTTGGCAAATGTATTGTAGCTGGGGCTGAGAGCACCTGGCCTGGGGTGGGGCAGAGCCATGTGGAGGCAGTCCATGGCTACAGGCCCCCAGGGCTCTGCCCCACCAGCTACATTTGCTGACAGTGATGGGGGGTTCCTGCATCCATGACAGTGAGGCCAGGGCTTGGCAGGGCCCTTTCCCCAGAGCACAGCTGCAAAAGCTTTTGGTGCATCTGCTTGTGGGAGAAGAGTAGGATTGGGCCTGCTTATGCCTTATCACGCCCAACCCAGGCCTCTGCCAGGTCCTTTTGGTGGGTCCCCCCAAAGCAAGGCGCCCTGGCGTTAATGCCCAGTGAGATGCACAGGGCAGCTCACACCTCTCCAAACAGCTGTTCTGGGCCTTTGCAGCTGTTGTGCTTGGGTCCTGTTCTCACAGTCCCAAAGACCTGATCAGCCGACCCAGAGCTGCCCCTTAAGTGCTAAAGGCCCCATCTCACGTTTTCTTAACATAAGCTGAGAATCCAGGAGCCAGCACCTGGGCACAGACCTGTGGTATCTCAGCCTTAATGCAGCCAAGGAAGGGGACAGGATGGCGGCAGGTGTCTGTTGTAAGGGTGTAACCATTGCTTTGTCCCATTTCAGAGTTCTCTGCAAATTTGCATTCAGTCTGTCCCAGGACTGGGAGCTTCCTCTAAAGAGAGAGGTGAGTTGTCCGCTTGAGATCCCCTCCCATCTCCTGGCACATTAGCCAGCCCCATGCTCTCTTTGGAGGGCCTCCAGCAGAGTTTACACAGATGTGCCCCAGCATCATGTTTGGTGCCCCAGATCATTAGGAGCCAAAGAGCTGTCCCTTCCTAGTGGGGCTGCCTCTGCCATCAGCTGGCTGGAGTCTGTGGCAGGGTCACGCTGGACCTGGCAACGGCAGAACATTCACAGAAACCTGCTGGGTGATGAGAGCTGAAGGTGCTCTGAGGATCAGCTCCCTGCCCCCCTCTTGTCTCTCCTCCCCAGCCAGGAGCCATGTTGGGGCTCTGGGAGGAAAGGGTGCTGACCTTTTCTGCTTGACTAGTGGCCCTTGCTATTCTGGCCTGGTGCTGCTGAGTGAGGGGATAGAGCAGAGTGAGAGACCTGGGGTGTGGGGCAAAGGCCACTGCTCCTTCCTCACTACATAGGGATGCTGGCACTAGCTCCTGGCCCTTTCTGTCTTCCTGCAGGAGAAGGAGAAGAAGCCGCTGAAAGAAGGCGTGCAGGACATGTTAGTGAAACACCATCTCTTCAGCTGGGACATTGATGGGTGACCCCTCCCATGCCTCTGGGTGGACCTTCTTGACTGCGCACATTCAACACATGCTTCCCTCTCCCTGACCCCCAGCTGCTCTCCGCCCTGCTGGAAAGATGAGTCCCTCCCATTCACTTGTATCCCAGCTCCCTTCCTGCTTGTAGCAGTGACAAGGCCCACTTCAGGGTCTCTTGTGTCACTGGGGACAGACAGACTGACTGGCTGCATGGCCACAGCAGCACACACCACAGACGGGCAAAACACAGTGACCAGCTGGAGTAAATGCTCAGCTCTGAGCACTTACCAAGGACTTTCTCTCTCTCCCCCTTGCCTGTACCACTCTGCACTGGCCAAGCTGCCCAAGGATCCCTGCCATGGGTGTGCTCTGCCTTTGCCCCTGGCATTGCCTCTCGTGGCCCGGCTCTCTCAGGGTGCAGCTTTGCCTTTCCACACTGCCTTCCACTGGGTAAGTTATTTGCCACCCTCTCGCCTGCCGTCTCCTCGTGGGGGAGAGCTCATACCTGGACCATGGGCCTCTCCGCCTTCAGTGTCCCAGGGGCTGTCACATGTGGTGCAGTCTCCACAGCGTTCCCAAGTGCCACTAGTCCAGAGTGTGCAAGAGGCAGCTGCCCCTTCAAGCATGCCTTGCTCATGGGTGGAAGACCAGTGCTGGGCATGTGAGGGGTGGCATGTAGGGCCTAGTGGGCAGGAAGCTGGAAACAGCAAGGAGCACTGGCAGGGAAAGAAGAGGTGGAGGTGACTGAGGGAAGGCAGCATGTTGCTCGCAGGCCAGGGCTCAGCCTCTCCCCTCTCCTGCACTGCAGGAGCTCCTGGGGAAGCAGCGTCTGCCCTTGTGGGGCAGGGGAGCACCACTGGTCTCGTCTCCCCTCCCCCATGCTGCAGTGCACCAGCGTGCAGGGTGCTCACAAGATGTGCCTCACGGACCAGCCTGTACCAACTCCAACTGCCTTAGGGGATAGGCTTTGTCTCTGCCCCCAGGTCCGAGACAGGAGCTGCCTGCCCTCTAAACAGAGCGTGTTTCATGCTGTCATTTTAGCCTCTAGTTGATTTTTACTATTAACCAAAAAGCTGTAAATTTAATCTCTAGAAATGTGTGTATATTTTTGGCATCTTAGCTCAGGAAGTGGGTTCAGGACTAAGCTGGCTCAGGGAGACTGACGGGGTCTCTGACCTGGGTGCAGGAGCCTCCAGGTCAGGGGTGGAGAATTGCTAGTGGGAGTGGTAGCTTTGGTCTGTGGAGTCTGACTGTACAGTGAAAGCACCTGTGTGTGAGCACAACTCCTCGTGAAATGCCACTCGCATCCTACTCTCCTTTGTTCCGTGGGTTTGTAAATAAACTGCATCTTGGGAGACCGCAGCTGGCCTCTTTCTTTTCATGGAGGCTTCAGATGGTTTTGAGCTTCATTCACTCCTATTGCTGGGCCAGGTACCTGCCCTCCAGGCTGCCCACTCCTCCCTAGGAGGGGGACAGACACTTGCTGTTTGTGAAGGGCTTGTTGCCTCCTGCTCACAGAGAGTGAATGTCTCTGTGCAGTGGCAGAAGAGGCCTCTGCAACCCCAGACCTGAAAAGCCAATGCGCAGGGAAGTCAGGGCTTCCTAGAAATGCAGCCTTTCTCCTCGTCTCCCAGCTCCATGGGCTGGGAGGGTAGAGACAAGGTGATCCCTGCTCCACTCCCATCAGCGCTCCCTCCAGGAGAAGCTGCTCACGCAGTGGTTTGGTATCTTTTTTAATAAAATGGATTTTTTTTTCCAAATATTTGTAACTGAAAAAATAATTTGATTTGAAGATCCATTCTCTCCCGTTACCTCTTTGCAAATGTCCTTTTCCAGTTGAGTGCTCATACTAGATCTTATGTCACAGCACTGCCTTTCGCCCCAGATGCTGCTGGTCACCCCTCACCAGCTGCTGCATAGTGGAAGGGAGAGTGCGTGCTAATCGAATACACATTACAAACAAGTAGTGGTTACAGCAGAAAGTCAGGATTTACATTCAAGGTAGAGGCAGAACATCAGGCTTTTGTTTTTCCTGGTGGGGGGCAACAGGGTCTTCTGGGGGAACAGCCCTTCTAAACAGTCCAGCACTGAAGCGATGGCTCCAGCCAGGGACTTAACCATCCTGCAAGAGCAGGCCACCTTTGCCTTCCACGGAGAGGTGAGCACCCAAAGCCAGCCCTAGCACCTTCCCAGCAGGAGCTGCCCATCCCCGGGACCCACTGCAACGCTGACCAAAGCAGCACCATCCCTCTGTGCTCTACACTGCATGACTGCAGAGGGCAGGGGAGGGTCCTGAACCTCACTGCTCCCCCTCCTTCCACAGTGCAAGGAACCTTTGCTACCACCTCCCTGCAGAAGCTCATTGCACTTGTTCTTGTCTGAGGTTGCTCTTATCTGAAGCTTCTCATCTGTACCAAAGACTCAGCCCCTGCATCTTGGGGGTTGGGGAGAGAGCAGAGGGAGCTCAGCAATCACAGTGGCTTCTATTGACTTTGAAAAGCCAGGGGGAACTTGGTGTTTACACCTTCCCCTCCAGCTGGGAAGCAATCCAGGTGCCTCCTAATCCCAGTTCTCAGCAGTTCCCTCCTCTGTCTCATGCACAATTACTTTACCACTACGCCTACACCCCAAAAGTACTGGGAAGGTGAATCTGGCCACTTCTGTTACCTCTCTCTTCCAAAGGATAAAGGAACCTTGGCAGAGCACAAGGACAGCAGCTGCAGCCCAACAGGGGGACATGAGCACCTTAGGCCCAGAGGTTGTACTGCAGAAGCACATGCCCAGCCCAGCGTGACATGACAAATACCCTTTTAGAGCTGCTTAGTCCACCAGAGTCCTTCCACTGGGGACCCAGACTTTGGAAATGGGATGGAGATGGCTGATCGGTCCCGCCAGGCTGCTTTGGCCATGTTTACCATCCCTGCCTGTGTAATGCCAGCCGGGCACAGCTGCAGTCTTAACCGAGAGAAGACATGGGACTAAGGGTGCACATGCAGAAGCACTACAATAGCAAGGGTGGGGGACAGCCAACTCTTCCCTATTCAGCCACATGTGGAAACCAAATGCTTCTTCTCTCTGCCTCCATGAGGCACTACTCCCCCCCAAACCAGGCAGCCTTGCCAGCAAGAGCCCAGCAGGGTGGTTCTGGGCCATAACACAGGGCACATCCCCGAGGTGCACCAGGCAGGATGAATGCTAACGTACTGAGGGGTATGGCCGCAGGCACGTAACAGCCTGGAGCACCTTCACGGGAACCACCCACACAACTGAGCTTTTTTCGTTTCAAGGCATTGAGGCAGCAACTTCCCTTCTACCAGCTCCTGCACAGAAAGCGCTCGTGGGCAGGGCAGGGAGGTGGGTGGAAGGGAAGGGAAGTGGGACAGTGTCTAGGCCAATAACCTGATTTGGGCATCCTCAATCCTCAGGCAGGGGGAAAAAAGGGCCAGCTGCAGGGCATCACACTGGTTTTAGGGAGGCCTAATCCTACAACACTGGGCAGCTGCTACCACTGCTATCACCCTGCTAAGCTGACACGACTTGCACGCGCTCACCCTCCTTCGCCAATAGGGCTCGTGCAGTAAATATGGCTGGCAGAGCTGCAGCTCACCAGACACCAAGGCAGGTGGGTCCGGGTGCTTGCCATAGCCCTGACACACCAGGCTGCATCACGGGAGGTGTCAACAGCTTCTGCTCACCCCCAACCCGAGCTGCTCTCCACAGTCCTCAGCCTCTCCTGGCCCACCGGGCCCACACACGCCATCTGCTGCTGCTCAGTGCCCAAGGCCGGCTGGGCAAACACCCTGGATACTCTTGCCCTGGGCAGAAGGCTGCTCTGAGCACAGGGTCTGCGATGGCCTCAGCATATGAGGGCCTGACTCCTGATCACATCAACTGCATTTTTTTTTTTTCTGGGGGTGGGGAGACACTGTCTGGAGTCCACATATAGCGTATGGAAGGACCAAATACCCAGCAACTTAGTGTAGCTGGAGCCCAGCAGCAGGTGCCAGCCCCAAGCAGAGTGCAGAAGAGGGCAGGCATCCCATCTGGCTCCTACTGAGGCCATTTAGGAAAGCTGTGCAGAAGGAGGGCAGTGTGGGGCTAGTCTGGGTACGCTGGACTCCTCACCCCACAGCTCCTGCCCACCCTTGTGCCTCTGGCTCAGTGCCGCAGCTCATCACGCACAGTGGGGAGGAACGTACAGGGCCTGCCAGTGCCAACCTGCCCGAGTACCTCAGGTGGGGGAAGTGGGACAGCTAGATGCTGTCTGCCTTTTGGAGGAGTGGAAAAGCCAAGGGAGCCCCCCTGCGTGCCCGGTTCTCTACCCAGCCTGAGTGGCGCACTGAAGGGCCCTGATCAACTCCACACAGCAGTTTGCTGGCCTTGTTCCCAGGCACAATGGTGGCTTCCCTCTCTCCCCCACCTCCCACCTGCCTGGCCTGGCTGCTGTCTGGTGTGTAAAGGCCCCAGTGCGGCACCCCTGTGGACCTGGCCCAGGTAGCTGGAGGGAGGGTAGGCCCATGCTTTAGCATCTGCAGCTGCCCAGCTCCTGGGGCCCTCCACTCCTGCCACCCCTGTCCATTCCATACCCAGCCCTACTGCGGCAACAGAGGGGATGAGGGAAGCTTGTAGCTTATGGCTCGAGTGTCACTTTGGGCTGTAGCCTTGTCCGGAAATGAGACAGGCCTGAGAGCTCAGGCCTGGTAAAGGAGAAAGCCTGCACCCCATCCCCCAGGTGCCCATCTTCCAACTCCCACAGCCCATCTCCCCCTCCGTAAAGGTTCCCCAAAGAACCTTTCCTGACCTGCATAAACCCCATGGTTATTTTTTTTTCTTAAACTACTTTTAGGAGCAAGCTGCTGCTCACTGCCTTCCTGTCCCCTTCTGCCCCCGGGAGTGAACAGACCCAGCTGCACTGTTTCCTGCCAGTCTGAGCAAGGGAAATCCTGCCTGCCAGGGTCACATGCAGGGCACTGCTGTTATTTCTCTGAGCTTAGGGTGGAAACTAAAATGCCTCTGCTAACACCTGAGATCCCAGCTGTGTCCAGGCTAAGGGGAGGGGGCTGGGAACCAGCCAGTTGTAAAGCCCCTGTGGACCCTCTCCTTCAACAGCCCCATTTTCCGCTCTGGGCCTGACCTGCTGCCTGGAGCTTGGCATGAACAAAAGCCAACAGCAGCAGTACCGGCCCCAGCCTCTGGTACCTGTTGGGGGTCACTGTTGGGGGAGGAGTACACATACTAGGGGCTCATTTTTGGTTGACTGGCCTCTCTTTCCCCACACACTCCCCAGCCCTCCCACACCCATTCCCTTCAGTCTCTGCTCAGGGAGCTACAAGCAAGAATCCCAATGCAGCTGCAGATCATGTCCATCAAGAAAGTCTGTGGAGAAGAGGCTGGGGGCTGCAGTGCTGAGGGGAGCAAGGCTCATGACAGGCCCCCCCGGCAGCTCCAACCAATCCATGCTGTCCAAGTTAGCCTCACCCAGGTCCAGGGCTAATCCCCCAACAGGCTCGTGGGCAAAGTGCAATTCTGAAGTGTCCATGGGTGAAGGTGGGTGGTCCAGGATGGCCGAGCTACTCAGCATCTGGCTGTGGAGATCATCGATCAAGGGCAGGGGCTCAGGCCCATCATGGGCTGCCGTCAGCAGAGGGAGGCCTGTGCTGCTCTCCAGAAAGTCCTCCAGTCGGCCTACTGGGACAGGGTGGCCCACGGACACCTGCAGGGGCAGCTCAGAGGAATGGTGGCTGCTAGGTGGCGAGGCGCAGGCTGGGGATGCAGACGGCTCCTTCCCAGCCGGGGAGGGCTGCTCTTTGAAATCAGCTGAAATCTCTGTAGAGAAAAAATATACATAGTGCCAGGGCAGTGAAGGACTCCGCTCAAGGGACCTGAGACCCCTCTCCCCGGATAAGCCTCAATTGTGTTTGTGGGGGCTCTCAACCTGCCACAGAGGGATCCAGCACTGGCCAGTGCAACCTAGAAGAGACCCACCCAGGTATGTTCAGGAGCTTTATGGCACATTAAACCAGTGCCTGACTAGTCTCTGATGGAGCCACAGTGACTCCCCTGCCTGCCTGCCAGTGCTTTTGGGCAGCACCAAGTGAAGCACGAGCAAGGGCCCAGACCAGGAGCTCTGTGTGCCAGCGGCAACGTCAGTCTCCTGTGGGTCAGCAGAGAGGTGGAAGCCATACTAGCAACTGGGCTGTACAAACCACAGACTCAAATCCAGAGAGCTAAAGGCTGTAAAGTGCCGGTTCTCTCACCTCCACTCTCAATGAGGATGTCAAACAGGTCATCCATCTGCTGGCTTGAACAGCCATTCTCCTAGGAAGAGACAGTGCAGGATTAGCCTCAAAAGATGCACTAACCTCTGACCCCCCCCAGCAGTCACAACTTGGCTGCCTTCCCCTGCCCCCTCCCTTCTCCCCTGATGAGGAAATTACCCGGTAGTACAGTGCTCACAGCAGCCAGGCACCAGCACCCTGTAACCCCAGGCATTACTGGGTAGTAAGGTGTTTGTAGCAGCCCCAAAGTGCCCCACATCAACGACCCCATAGTAACCTCATCTCTGCCTCAGTAAGTGGAGGGACCAAAGTGAGACGGGACATGGATACACCCCTCTGAGATGCCTCCAGAGGGAAGGTGCTTTGACTCCTTACATGCTGTTCAGGGTCAGTTAGAAAAGACCCCTCATGTCTTAGTGTCTCTGTTTCTGGGTGCCTGTCCCTGAATTCAGTGACCTATGTGGGTTTATTATTCAGGGAAGATGTTTTTTGCACAGGCTCCCCAAGGAAGCCAGAGAAGGAGGCTGGCTCTTACCTCATGGGGCTTTGGCTGTTGTTTCGTGGCCTCTTCATAGCCTGGCGGTTCTTTCATTGGTACCGAGGGGGCAGGGAGGGGAGACGAAGGGGTCCCAAATAGGGATGGATGCTGCTGCTGCTCAAGATCCATCTGCGATGGGGAGGAGGCAGCGGGAGAGCCTGGCTGTGAAGAGGGCTGTTTAGAGTAAAAGACAAAGGAGTGAGGAGGCAGAAAGCCCAGTCCATTGTCCCCATCAGGGCCACTCCACCCTATTGGGACCAGACTCCACCCTATTGGGATGGGACCAACCTGTGCCTCAGCTAACACAGCAAATATGTGCCCTGCTCCTGCTCCCAGCACTTGCAGTGCAGTGTGTGCTATGCCCTGGCTGCAGCCATTTCTCCTCAAAACACAACCAGAAGCCTCTGCTGAAGCATGCTTTGCTGAACTGGAGTGGGGAGGGCTCCTCGGTTAGGGTGGAGACTCCTCCAGCACCCTCCACAGCTTCAAAGGCACTACCAGCACAGTGTTTTGTGCTCCCTCTGCATGGAACAGCTCCACCCTGTTACTTCACCTGCTCCTCCCAGGCATGAGTGTGCTTTGGCAACACAGAGCTACTTGCACAACACTGGCCTTGGAAAAGCCTGCAGTGTCCACCTCAGGCTCTGCTGGCATCATGTCTCAGGCTAAGCTGGCTGGCATGGGAGACCTGCAGTACTGGTGACTCACCTCTTCTGTGTGAGTCAGCATTGATCTAGTGCCCAAACACACATCAGATTGCTGGGGCAGGCCTCCGCCTCAGCTAGTTTGCTGAAGTAGGAATAATGGCCCCAGCTTCCTGAATGCTGCAAATGCCACAATGCTGCTTCTCTGCACCCCTCCCCACCACTGTCACCTAGGAAGCCACTCTCTGCTCTTCCTCCCTAGGGCACATGGAGCAATATTGCTGGGGCAGGAGTAAACCTTGTACATTCAGCCTTCAAAACCCCAGGTACGCCTGAAAAAGATGGGTTCAACCCTGGTGCCATAACATGGGCATAGGGGGTTTGCTTCTAGAGATGACCTGAGCAGGGTGTGGAGCCCTGGGTAAATAAGCCTCACGCGCCCCAGACATGAAGAAAATGGTGGTGGATTCAGCGGTGGGGGTGGGTGATAAGCAACCAGGCGTTAAGCTGGCGGCACCGAGTCACCGCAGCCGCTCCACCCAGCTTCACAGGGCCCCACAAAGTGCAGGGCCTGGGGCGGTCACCCTGATTTGCCCCCCTCTAAGGACGGCCCTGTTTGCTGCACAGGTACCTTTTTCGGCACACTGGGTTGGCCAGTTTTGACAGGAGCATGAGGTTTCAGAGATCCTTTGTGGAAACCATTAAGGAAGAAGGGCTGCAGGTTTGGAGGTGCTGAGAAAGACAATACTGTGGGAGGCATCTGCCCAGTGACTACTTGCAGGCCTGGCTTCTGACCCTACAGGGAGGCAAAAGGATAGGACAGTTACTGCAAACACTTTTGTAGCACAGATGTCAACCAGCCAAAGGAATTCAAGGGTAAGAAGCCTTGGGTTAACTTCTGCAGTAGCTACGGGCCTTAGAGTGAACACAGGTCCCACATCCTCTTCAAAGAGGCCGGAACATGAGACCCCAACAGCACAACTATAGTAGACAAGCCCACTTCCTCCTCATTCATGTCATGGTCCAGTTTAGAAGCTATGCTCTAAGCCCCAAAAAACCTTTGTGACCTTGCTCCAACCTATCTAACTGATGAGCTGCAGAATGGACTGGGGTTATCAACTGATCTGGACCACTCAGAGAGCAGGTGGACAACGGGAACACTTAGCAGCTGTTGCTTTGAGAAGGCAGAAGTATTGTCCAGCTCCCCTCTTGCTCCATGTTACCATTACAGCTTGTCAACATAATCCACAGGAAGGACAAAACAATTCAGGCCCCCTCCACTGAGGGCACCTTTTTATGCCTGCAGGACAATTCTGAGTGCACTCCTCCAACCCTTGTGCCTTGGAAAGGCACCTGCTGGCAGGTGCACACTGCACAGTAAATGCTTTGCAATTCTAGTGGGATTTCTCATAGGAGGAGCTATTCTGTATGAATCAAGAGCCACTCCAGTCTCTCTTTGTTTGTCATTACTATCTGTGAGAAGATGGCAAAGGCAATAAATTGCCAGAGATTCTCAACTATATTTCATGCCATGAACTCCATATTCATTCCCCTTCGATGCATCCCAGAATCCTCTGCTCCAGTACCTGTGGCTCCTCTACAGTCACCTCAGAAACCTCAGAAAAAGGTGCACAGTGCTCCTGATCCTCCAAAGAGGTGTGCTTGTGAGTGACTGAGTAGAACTGTTTTGGCAGAAGGCTGGAGATGGAGGCTGGGAGCACTGTGCCATGCTGCCCTCATCTGCATCTGCTGGCAACTCCTCAACTGAGGATCAAATGCATTATGCAGCTGCAACCTGTGGTGGAGACAACCCTGCAGCGAGCTCTCTCCTGTGGTGGAGCTGGTCTCAGAACTGGTTTGTGTATGTGCTCCCTTCTCCCTATTGCCACACACTCCAGCATCAGCCAAAGAGAAAGCAAAGAAGAAATGCAAGCAAGGAGTCAGCTACCTTCCTGACAAGCTGGTTCAGTATTCTGGGTTGCTGCTGTGGCTGTGGCTGCGGCTGGGAGTTGCCTACAGGGAGCTGACACTGTGCGTGGCTGGAAGTTTTAGTAGGTGATGTTTGACCTGTCTGAGAAGGAAAAAAGATGCGTAAGAAACAATTCCCCACATTACTGAACGGAGCTGCAGGGGAGAGTGGTGGGGAGAGAGAAGATTTGATATCTTAAAGCTCTGATGAGATCAGCCTGTCCTTACTCTCTGAAAATGCAGTTCTCTGTCCTGCAGAACAGAGATACTGAATGACGCCCGCCTACTGTTAGGAACTGAGCAACTGCAAAACTGGTTTAGCAACCTGTTACTGACAGCAGCCACTGGTGGCAGCTTTGGAGGAGAGTGTAAGGATGCTACAGTAGGGGGTTCTGGGATAAGGAGAAACTACCCTGGGGTAGTTTAATACTCAGAAGGTGGTGAGGATGCTTTATGCCCTGAAGCTTGTCCCTCCCTTCCAAAACCACTGAAAAACATCAGTGAGTTGGGCACAAGCTCCCATTCCCTGGGCTCAGATATCAGCATATAAGCCTCAGTGGACAGAGTTATACAGCTCTAACTCTCTCTTTCCTTCCTCTTCATAAAGCAATGTGTGGTGGGATGCTCTTGCTTGCACTTAGAAAAAGCAAGGTCAGCACATCTCAGCATGTCGACCTAACCTAGTGGCCTACCCCTGACAATACCTGGTGCTTCAAAGGAGACTTGAGCAGGTTATGATACACCTGGTAATGGTGTAGTGCTGCTCAACTGCAAGGTTTGCGTGTGCAGACTTCCATCCCATCCCACAGCACGGGTCCATTTTTGCCCTGAAGCATAAACTTTAGTTACACCAAGTCTGGTTTCCACAAACTACAAGCTCGTGTGGCAGCCTGTACAAACTACTGTACAGGCAGCCCTAAGAGCACCACGCTTGTGCTTAGTTTACCTATGGTATTCACCCAGTGGGTCACCCCCCGGTGCTGAGTCCTCGGTGATAATGATCAGGACTAGGTTAACAAGGAAGGGACAGTACAAGAGACGGGAGAACCAATACATGCCTACCTGCAGTGTTGTGCAGCTACTGTTCACTTTCTCCTGTGGAGAGAGGCCCCGCCTCCCTGAACTCTGATTGGTCACTGTAAGGACGATGTGGGTCCCTGTGGAATCTGTGATGAGGGTAGGGGGAGGAGCCCCCTTGATGAAGTCACTCAGGACACCCCCTTGCTGACCAAGGAAGAGCTGTGGACTGTGGGACTGGCATGGTGGCTCTGTTTCTGCCGCCAGTACCTCCTGCTTCACCATCACCTCTTTCTTTGGCACTGAGCTTGGATCTGAAGTGTCCATTTGGCTAGCGGTCAGCACAGGGGTGTATTGGTCTGTTTGGCCATTGGGCTGCTCTGCAGACTGGCAACTCAGGAAACCGTTTTCACTTTTCACTGGGACGTCAAACACCATCGAGTTGGGAATGGAGACAGCTCCATCTCCTCCAGTGGCCATGGCTGGAAGCAGCTGCTGTGACCGCTTCTCTTGCTCCAGCTGCAGCCTCAGCATCTCTACCAGCTGCTGTTTCTGTTTCAGCATTCGAGTGAGTTCCTCAATTTGCTTGTCTTTCTCCTGCAGCATCTGGTCTTTATCCTGAACCTCCATGTCTTTGCTGTTGCTCGTGCTGCTCTGTTCTGACTTGGGGACTGGATTTCCACTACAGTAGGCAACTTTGGAGCTCTCTTCCTTCACCACAAACTGCAGTGGAGATGCTTGCAGGGTGAGCTGGGTCAGAGGCGAAGTTACCATCTCCCCAAAGGCATCTCCAGTGGCTGAGTTCTCGTCCCCAGTGCTCATCTGAGAGCGTTCTGATGGGGTGGGAGAAACAGGTGGGGTTGAGCCTGTGCTGCCAAACTTCATCACACCATTGCCAGTGACAGTGGCCACGACAACCTCTGCTGGTGTGATACCAGCAGTGACCAGTGCTGACCCTGTACTCAGCCTGGTAGCTGGAAAGGCTACCATCACTTCAGCAGCTTTTGGGATGACGGCTGTTGCACTGGGCTTGGATGTGGTGGCTGCTTGACTGGCCATGCCATTCTGCTCTTGGTAAGCTCGGAGCCGCTCAATCAAGTCTGTCTTTGGGCCAGAGACAGGTAATGCTCTCAGCTTCAACTCTTGCTTCAGCTCTGCCACCTAATCAGGGGAAAAAACAGGATTAAAATTAAAGGAATTCCCACCCTTACCAGAAAAACCTTTAAGTCTCTACAGTCCTGAACTGACAGCCCTGCTGGTGGAAGGTCCCTTTTGTTATCCACATACACAGGACAGAATGCAGGACAGCAATGCCAGCTGTCACCACAAACTGTCCTGTCAGCATGCCTCAGCCCTGACCTGAGATGGCCACCTCATGCAGTCTTTACTGAATGTCCACTAGAGATCCAGCAGTGTTAGAGGTGATAGCAAGGTGGACCTTTACCTTCATGTCATCTAGGTTGGCAGGGAGGCTGCCCACTGGCTTGGCCACTGTGGCATTACTGTTTTGTCGCATCAGCCCACCAGAACTGGAGGATACTGAAGACGCGCAGCTGACTGTGGTAGAAAGATTGCGCCCGGCAGGGGCACTGGTACTGCACTGCTGCTCTCCTGGAGGCCTACCAAGAAAGAAAAAGTGTGGGCATCAAAACTGAGATGGAAAGTGCTCATCACCATTCGTCCCTCCTCATGCTAAGAAGCCAAGCACAGACACTTGCAGCAGTATGTGCCGGAAGCTTCCTGATCATTGCAAATATGACACCAGCCAATCAGAGCCTTTTAACTGCACCCAGAACTCCCAACTCCGAATACTAACAAACCAACTAAGTTCAGACGCTCCTGCTTGACTGATTAACCCAACAAAAGACTCCTTCTGGAGGACCACAATAACCGTCCACATGGAAGGGAAATGTTGTGGGACACATACTTTGGTGGGGCTGGCAGGATGCTCTGATAGTTGTAGTGCTGCTGCAGCTGCTGGTTGAGGATCTGGAGCTGCAAGAAGAGCTGTTGCTGCTGCAGTATTTTGGCATAAGATGAATCCATGAGAGGGGCTCCTTTGTCCTGCTTTTGGTCCGGGGGAATGTATTGGTGATATTTAAGCTTCCTGACTTTCGGCTTCAATTCCTTGGATTTCTTGCTGCGCTGAGACTTCTCATTGGCAGTCTTGGGCTGGCTTTGCTATTCAATGGAAAAGGAAGAGAGTAAGAGTGGGTGCAGTCAAGGCATTTCATAGAATCATAGAAAATGAGGGTTGGCAGGGACCTCAGGAGATCATCTAGTCCAACCCCATGCTCAAAGCAGGACCATCTCCAACTAGATCATCTCAGCCAAGGCTCTGGCTCCAAGGATGGAGATTCCACAACTTCTCTGGGTACCCTGTTTCCAGTATTTTACTACCAGCCTAGTGAGAAAAAAATGTGGTTGACATTAACATCTAACCCTAACCAGAAAGCAGCCTGGTTTTGCATCTCAAAACTCTCCAGATATAACCCAGGGGCCTTTCCACATTCCTAGATCCTCAACAATAAAGCATACAGAGCAGCTCACTTAGTTCCAATACCTTATACAGGGATAGAGCAAAGACTAGAACAGAAGGCCTGCTCAGCCCAACAGTCCATTGGTCCATCTAGCCAAGACTTCTCATCTCTGACCCCAGCCGATTCTGGATACTTCAAAAGCTTTCAGCATCCAGAAATTATGGATCATGGCTGCTCAAGTTGTATGCTCATCAGGTGTGTGGAGAAAAGCCCATTAAAGGCTCTGTGAATGGAGGCCAGGGGGAGACAGCAAGTGACACAGGAAGTTGCTCCAGTGTTGGAGCATGATCTAGTGTCTCACTCCCACTCTCTACCCACAACACAGCACTCATCTTAAGTGTTGTTATTATACAGAAATGGGGATGCCCCACCATGGTACCTTAATAAGTGTTGGTGGGGGCTTGGCAGCAGGAACAAGAGCTCCATTGGTGAGATTAGGAGGCAGCAAAGGCGGTGGAGGCAAGGGAGGAGGTGGCTGTTCAGGTAGGAAAGGTGCTTCACTGGAGTCTACAGTGATCTGTAACTGTGATGTACCCTGCAAAACAGGAAAAATAGAGAGTGTGAAATACACACAAAGAAGCAGTGTTCTCCCTTTCTGTTTTCTGGAAAACACACAATGTAAATGATCTATGGGAGACATTCACTAAAGGGACAGGGTCCACACCATTACATAGCCATCTGCTACCTTACCTGCTGCAGTGCAAGCAAACCAGCCTAAGGCAGGGATGGAGTTCAAGCTCCATTTCTAAACCAACACCCCCACCTTTCCCTTCTACCATACCATTCCCGCACCAGATCTCAAATCAATGGAGAGGCTATACTCAGAAACTTATCCCTCAAGACTTCTGGAATTTTCTGCTCAAAATGTTTGTTTTTTGTTTCTACTGCCCTTTCCTCCTTGCAGTCATCTCCAGACACCTCCTCCTTGCCCAGATCTACGCCACCCCCAACAATCTGATTCATTTAACTTCTTGAAACTTTGCACTTTCAGGCAAAGGTAAGGGCTTAATTGTGTACACAAACTTGCAGAGAGACAATAGGGCTGATGGATAGGTAATCAGGTCTGTCATCTCTCCTTCTCCTATACTGCTGTTAACAAGGATGTTATCTCTGGAGACACAAATCCACAGTTTGAAAACTGAAACTAAGCATCACAGAGATGCTTAATGGGATCTTCCAGATGAACACTGAGTCCCATTGGGTCGAGTAGTTTTCTTTAATCCTTACTACTCTATAGAGAAGCCTCTGGGAACCTCATAAGATTGGGTCCCTAATACAGTCCATGGCCTGTTGTAACCTATTTATAAAACTTTTCTAAAAAGGTTACATGAATATATTGTCTCAAATAGTATATCATTAGAAGTTATAATCCCTATTCCATGATAATATCGTTGAGCTCTAACATATCTTAAATTAAAATTATCTTTATACAGGTTGTTTTTTTTTAAAAACATCTTAACAAAAAATTTTTTAAAAATGATTAAATAAAAAAAATCTGATTTAAATTTTTTAAAAAACCTATTTTCTATTTTTTTAAATAGTTGATTTTTTATCGACCCTGTTTTCTGCATCACCAGAGCATCATGGATGCCCACTCCTTCCCAATCCTACCCATGGGGCACCCCGGCAATCAAAGGCCTTCACTGGTGCTATTTAAAACCAAAATATATTGCAAAAACACAGTAAGGAACACAGACCAGCCTGAGTAATGACAACTTGTGGATGCCTGTGCCTCACTCTTTAGGGATCAACTGCCCCAATTCAGAGAGGGTTTTGTGACCCCAGAGAAAAGAAAGTCAACACACTGCATTCTCACCTGGGCTGGCAATGTCCCCATGATGGTTGGAAGTGGCTCACCAATTCGGGCCTCCACTGGGGATGGTACAGATCCCTGGGACTCATGGCTGGCTGGCTGCTCAGGGGACAGGGCATCACTACTGTCCTCATCAAAGGAGGAATTGTCTGCAACCTTTGGGTAGTTCACTTGCCCAACTGAAAACACAAAACCCACATTCAGACAATGGTGGAGAATAAAAGTTTGTTCTATCTGACTGCAAATGTTGCCCAAAGACAGTATTATATGCCAGCTGGCAGAGAAGGGGGCAGTCTGGGGTATACTTGAATCACAAACCTCAAATGATCAAAGAGTACAGCACAGACCCCAGCTATTTCAAGTTATTTCTATTTATCTCTGAAGAATATTTGGTGATCAGTAATATCAAATGCTGCAGATTGATCTAGCAGGGGTATAGAAACACTTCCTTTGCCCAAGGGCAAGAAAAAGTCACTGACTAGAATGGGGGTGGCCAACTTGCAGCATGGACAACTTCTGTATGTGCCGTGTGACAAAGTGGGGAGGGAAAAGAGAGAACAACAAGAGATAGGGGAGAAAGCAGAGAGCAGAATTACAGATGAGCAGGGATCATGGGTCATAGAAAGGAAAGCAGAGCAACAGATTGGGCAGGGGATGAAGATCAGAGTGGGATTGGGGAGGGTGTAGGCTTATTTTGTAGCACACCTGCCAAAAAGGTTGGCCCCTACTAGGATAAAACAACAGGTGCTACTTCTCCAATAACCTGGCCTGAAGACTGACAGAGGGGTCCAGACAATGTCACTTTATAAGGAGCATTCAGATACTCTTTGGCTGTCTCTCAATTAGTAGAAAAGGAAGGTCTGACACTGGGTAGCCGTTTGCAGTCTAGCGTCAAGTAGTGGTGACTTTACTGCCATTACTGGCTACATGCTACAGCATAGGAGGCAGCATTCCTCTCTTCAAGGAGTCGTTGATAGTTTCTTAGAAGACCCAAAAAGGGTTGGGGTCAGTCAAAAGTAGTGGTCCTGATGGCAGAATGTGCTTCTACCTGCCTACCAGGCCCTCCCCAGTGCCCCAAAAACAACGATTTATCCTCAGACATCCCGCTCAGACAGGAAAGTATTATCAGCCTCATTTTCCAGATGAGGGACCGAAGTAAAAATATTCAGTGACCTGCTCAAAGTCATACAGAAGAGCCTGTGGCAGAGCCAGGAACAGCCCCCAGACCTCTCATGTTCTGGTTCACTATCAGCTACAAGTTCATCCATTGTTCTCCCTCGACTATTGCTGGTGGAATGGGAAAGCCAGGCTCACTGCCCTGCACTCTACAGTGACCTACATGCAGCCTTGCTCATTTGTGTACCTCTGTTCATCTCTGAAAGAAGTGACAATGGCTCCAGTGGCTGTCTATGTTTGAGGAAAGTGTAGCTAAGGTTGTTTGCAGCCTTCCCAGCTCAGTAGGCACTGGGAGAGAAAGAGGAAGGTATGTCCAGTCTGTGGTTATTACTTCTCATTCCTCTCTGCCCTGGAAAGGGTCCTGGCATGATTTATGTCTGTGCTCCTTTATTTTTAAAAGGTTGAATCCGCAGATGATTTGGGGTCCAAGGAAAGCCATTGCCTCTCCACAACTGCTTCCTCATTTTCCCTATCTGTCCACTTCCTAATCTGACACAGTCAGGGGGTTCTCCCAGGCCTCCACCACAGAGGTTAGCTATACAGATAAAGGGATTTTCAAAGAAGCGGGGGATTCACAAGATGGGAAATGCAATCCTATAGCAGTTCTTCAGTCACGGGGATTTCAGGATTAACTTTACATTGTTCTAGGATAGCTACATCCCTTAAATCTCGTGTTTTTTCACCACTATTTGAGCTGGGGAGGGAGTTTTGCATTCCAAACAGAAGAGGCTATAATTCCGGGATACAGAAAAAAAGGACATCATAAGACTGCACTCCCTAGGGCAAGTGAATGCGGATGTAATGGGAAATACCACCCCACTTTGGGAACCTCCCCACAAACAGAGATCCTCTGCTCCTACCAATGATGGCTTCCTTCAGACTGGACTCCACAGGCAAGATATTCTTCTCCACCAACTCCATGGGACCTGGCCTCTGGGCTATCTTCTCATTGAGGTCATCTGCCAGCCTAGCCCTCTTCAACTTCAGCTGCTTGGCCTGCAGGGAGGGTTCAGCTGAGGTCTCTGCTCGGGGGAAAGTAAATAAGTTGTTAGAGGAGGCCTGAGCTGCATGTGACTGCAGAACTTTGCTTCCATTTACAAGCTTGCACTCCTGACATGGGATGGGACACGTCCCCTACACTCAGACTGGTGTCACTCAACTCATGTTCATCTCATCTGATTTGATTTCCATCCTTATACATATACAGTGTATCAATGCCATCTCTGATGCCAGAATTGGACTTGCATGCTCTCTAGCTGAACTTTCAACCTTCTTACTTGTTTGAACACTTTAAGAAGTTCTCTGGCTAGAAAAATAGTCCACATCCACTCCACTTTCCTTTTATTCCAGGCCCTACTACTGTGCACAGTTTGGGGTTCACACAACAGATCCATGAAAGAAGTAGCAACTCCTTCCTAGAGGGCCATGACACTGCCACTCTTTATCAACCCCCAGGTGAACAAGACTTGGCGGTGGAAGATGAAATAAGTCCAAGTGAGTAAACAGCTGGCATGATTTAATGTATGCTGTAGATGGCTCCTTCCCTTTACTACGTGTCATACCTTCCAGAATGTGCATCCTGACCAGTTCCGCTCTCTCTGGCCGGGATCGGATTTTCCGTTTCAAATAGTCCTCCGTCTGCAGCAGAGACAAACAAGAATCTACTGAACTCAAGTGAACAGACAGCCCTGGACAGCATGGGGGATTTCAATTTTTAATCCATCCGTAACTGTTACATATGAATAAACTGCACATTGAAAGGGGGGGATGCATTTTCCCTTCAAGAGCTTACTCTCAGTATGTAAAACCTCAAATGCTACAGGATCAGTTTGCCCAACAGCAAATGTCCTGTGCTGTGTCCCAAACCTGTACATGAAGCCAGTAAGGATGCAGCTACTAATGGTCCTTCAGCAGAGGATGCAGCTGTTGACAGCCCTTCAGCAGAACAAGACACAGGGGCTCCATCAAGAGCCTCAGCTCTTTTTCCTCTTTACTCAACATGGCCCAAGCTTTCAAGGGTAGGCCTATGCTATCTCCATACTAACATATTCATAAATGATCTGGAAGTAGCCAAATTCACATATGACATAAAATTATTCAAAGTGGTAAAGACCAAGAAGGACTGTGAGGAACTACAGAAGGATCTGGCACTATTAAGCAAATGGGCAACTACATGGAAAATGAAATTCAATGTAGGTAAGTGTAAAGTTATGCACATGGGCAAAAATAACCCAAACTATAACTACACTATGATGGGCTCTGCGTTAGCTGTTACCACACACGAAAGAGACCTACGAATCATTGTGGACAGTTTGCTAAAAACTTCAGCTTAGTGCTCAGCAGCCATCAAAAAGGCAAACAAAAGTTAGGGATTATTAAGAAGGGAGCTGTAAACAAAATGGAAAGTATCATCATGTCCCTTTATAAGTCCACGGTGCATCCACACCTTGAGTACCATGCCCAGTTGTGGTCCCTATACCGCAAAAAGGATATCAAAGAATCAAAGAAGGTCCAGAGAAGGGCAACGAGGATGGTAAGTGGTGTGGAGCAGCTTCCATATGAGGAGAGACTAAAGAGGCAAGGCCTATTCCATTTAGAAGAGAGAAGTTTGAGGGAGAATGTGGTAAGGGTTTACAAGATACTAAATGGTAAAGAGAAAGTAAATAGGGATGTATTATTAACTATCTCTCACAATGCAAGAACTAGACGTCACAAAATGAAACTAGGAGGTAGGAAGTTTAAAACTAATAAAAGGAAGTTTTTTTTCACACAGCTTATAGTTAAAATGTGGAACTCATTGACACCATGTGTTGTGGGAGCTGACAGAGGCACAGCCTCTGAATCAGAACTTCCTAGACCCTAAATGCTGGAGACTGCAAGTGAGAGAACAACAGTGGGAAAAACCTTAGTCACACCCTGTTCAGTCTGCCTTTCAGCACCTACTCTCTGCCAGTCTCTGTCTGTGTGACACAGGATACCGGGCAAGATGGACACAAGCACAGAAGAACTGCCATTTACTGGGTCACACCGCAAGTCCATCTTGCCTATCCTGTCACATAGTGGCACAGAATGGATGCTGAGAGGCACCTATGGTCTGACCTAGCAAACGACATTTCTTATGTTCTTTATCCTGCGATTGTTGCCAGGAAAGAAGCCCAGTGGGAGCAGAGTCCACATACTTCTCGTCCACCTACTGACAAAATGTTGCATGGCCACTGTTGGAGTAAATCCGGATGCGCCCACTGCTGCTCTCACAAGCAAGCTGAAGGTCAAGATTCTGACAGCAACTTTGGGCACAGACACAAAAGTAACCAGAAATATTTTGGTAAGCAGCAAGTGTACAGCAGAAGGAGGCAAACCAAGGAAGCACTAAGTACAGACATACCCTGTTTCCTTTTACGTTTATGATGTTGAGTATTGGCTCAGTTGTTTGCAGAGGGTGCACACACAATGCTAGCATTTGGAGCTGGCTGGCAGGTAGGCTGTACTCTTGTTGTAAATTTGGCTGCTTGTTAAACTGGAGACCCCATGCATGTGGGACCTGAACTCTGTGACAAGCCTCACCCTAGCTTGTGACGCTGCTCGTAGCTCTGTTTGAGAAGGCAGTGCCACACAGCAATGCATGGAAACGAGCACCTCTAGGCTGAGGATGTTGCTCTTGGCACTTGCAGACAAGCCCAGAGACTGGAAGCCTGGAGGCAGTATACAGCAAGCCAAAGCACTGACTTCAGGCATGGTCCCTTGGAGGCTTTAATAATTTCTTCTCAGAAGAAGTGGTCTGGTCAGAATAACATTCCCTAGAGGCCTTTTGGGGAACTGAAATAATCTAGAAAATCCCCTGTTCAAGCAGCAGCAGCATGAAGTGCAGGACCTGTCTCCCTTAACTTCCTCTTTTTCAACGTCTGTGATTTTAGCCTCGACTCAAGACTATGTGGGATCCCCATGGTCATTTTTAGAAAAGAGAAATGCCCAGGGCTTGGTAGCACCCGAGACTAAGGGAAATGTACATTATTGCCAGCACTGGCCATTTTCAAAGGGCTTACGCTAAGCTGCAGAAGTGCTGCTAAGCAAAAGGTCCAAAGCCTTTTTCTGAGTGAGCATAGTGTAAACCTTTGCAGATGTGACAACTAACTTGGTCCGCAAGTAAAGGAAGCCATCAAGCACAATTAAACCAAGCACATGGCCTGAATGGAGATAAGGGAAGACCATATATTACACAATCTATATACAATATATCATAGCTTTATCTTAAAATAGTAGTAGTGACTGACGTAACCAAATGTATTAGATGTCAATTTGTTATAACAGATGTATTTTGTTAAAATGCTTAATTTGTAAAAACAAAAAACAGCCTTGTCAGAGAAGACCATAAAGTAAGGTAAAGAAGAAACCAGAATAGCATTCCACAGCGGAGAAGAAAAGTAAATAAGAAACCCTCCCTCTTTTCCAAGGATATATACAGCTCAACTAATTGACACCTTCCAAGTTCACAAGAGATCTGGTTCAGTCCAGTTCCAAAAGTTTCAGTGGAACAAAGACATTTAAATTAAACCAATCAGCAATCATTTATTTGAATATTAAAATCAGCCATCTATAAATATTGGGCATAGGCTGCAGGCAAATTTGGAGAAGTCAGCAAATCCAAGAAGAGCTGCTGCCAATCTGCGTGCCACCCTCTTCCCACCTCTTGAGTCTCCCCAGCTGGTTTAGGTGAGAATCTATGTTGTGGGTACCAAGATAGACCTTGGGTAAATGTTTGCTTTCATGTTTTAAGGTGCAAGTAAATAAAAGGTTGGGCTGCAGACCTGTTCCTGCCTCTTTTATCAGTACCCTACCTACACGGTTACCTGTCATCTGGGTAACAACATGCAATGCAGAAGCCAGGCATTTTTACTCAAAGGAGGATACAGCTGCTTAGAATGGGTGGGTACAATTGATGCCATGAAGAATGACCACATAAAGCTTTTGTAGACAGGTAGAAAAATACTACCATTCCCCAAATTCTTCCGTCTGGTGAACTCTAGGTACTGTTTTCAGCTAGAGTGTAGTCAGGCCCAGGTACAGTGGGGGTGAAACTACCATTCAATATAAGTAACTCCTCAGTCTCACACGTCTTTATGGCTATGAAAACAAAGTACTGGTTCCAGACTGTGGACTGGTCCCTTACTCCATCCCATTTACAGCTATGAGTTGTCTGGCACAACACATTTGACACCCGCCACTTTTGACTTCCCTTAAACCTCCAAAGATAAACTGTCTTACCCTGGCCCGCTCCAAGCTCCTTCTCTGTTCATGAAATGCAGCTGGACTTTTCAGAGCTGTTGAGAGAAAAATATTTAGAGAATGAATAAAAATAGTGGAGTCCCAGCCCTTTCCAACCCAATGTCACTGAGACCTGGCAAACCGAACTAAACAGAGGTGCCTGCATCTGCCACACTGGATCAGATTCTCAGCTGTTAAAAACTGATGTAAAATCAAAAAGACTCCACTTCAGAGCAGTGGGACTGCAGTGATTTATACCACCTGTGCATCTGCCCCTCTTCATAGGCTGCTTGAAAATATACTGTGGACTAGAGGTTGACTTGGATTGGCCATAGAGCTACCTTGTGGACGCTTCATCTACTGAGGTATAATAATAATGTGGGCTAAAAATTAGGAATGAGGATAATCAATGCCCTATGCACAAACTTTCATATAGTGGTAAATATTCTGGGCCCTGATATAAGTGTTAGGTACTGGAATTGGAAGAATGGGAGAGGATTCTATGAACTGTACCTCTTTACTGCCATTCAGTATTATGAAAATCCATAACTTGCATGTACATTCATTTATTTAGACTGGCTCTCTCCTTCCTCACAGATTTGGTATGGTCTCTGCAGCACCTATGCACTGCTCCAACGTAAGAGTGTCTTTCTTCTTCCACAAGAACAAGCACTTGGCCAGGAAAGCACACCTGTCTATCAACAGGCCGGAGGAATTAAGAGCAGCTCCCTGAATAGCGGACCTTCTCCCTCTCTAGCTTAGCACTGAAGCACAGCCAAGACAGATCATGTTTTAAGAAACTGATCCTGTGCTGTCCAATACTGTATTAACCCTGGAACAATCTCTCACTGCAGCTGCTTGTGCCAGAGCACACAAAGTACACATCCACAGTGAAACTGGAAAAAGGGGTTTACATTAGTTCTTGCCCAATGATAGCCATCATTTGCCACTGTTTCTGCAGAGCCAGGGCAGGTCTGCAACCCCTAAATGGAGGCACCGCTCATCAGTTTGTTGTCAGACACAACCAAGTGGAACAGCGCCAATGACCTGCTTTATTCCTGTCTTGTTTCCAAATTATAATTAAATTCTGTCTTGAGCAAAAACCACAAGGTTACATCACACATTACACTTAGAATAAATTGCATCCACCTGGCGGTCATGCAAGAAAAGTTTCCAGCACACATGAGCAGTTTTGTGAAATTCAGAGTCTGGGTCAGACACAACCTTAGAATGGAAATGGGGTGATAGATTCATCTCTGATCTTACAGATGGGTTTGTACAAATGAATTTTTGTGCCTGCATGGACCACTGTTGACTTTAAATGGCTGCTACATGAACACAAAGATCTGCCTGTGTGAATGCAGTGATGAAATCAAGACCCTAATTTTGGCCCATGCATGGCAGAATCTGTATGTTACCATCAGCTAAAACAAACTTCATATATGCTTAAATACCATCAGCCCGTTTCATAAACTTTAGCTTCACAAAGAAGGAAGGAAGGAATCCCTTGCAACCCTGATGGAACGCAAAGGTTTAAATTTCCATACGAATAACCTCCAAACACTGTATCCAGATCTTACAAAATACAGTCCTATGCACCAGACTGCACCCAACAGTAGCATAGAGAACTAATTCTATGTTTCAAGATGACCTCTTTGGGAGACATGGCTCTACAAACAGTCTTTGGCTGTTGTTTCATTAAAGTAAAAATCCTTGCTTAAACTGAATGTCAGAAGGAATTCCAGGTACTGTGTGTGGTATACTGCTGAGCTTCCCCCCACCCACAAGATATAAGGAGTGCATGAATTTAGGTGGGCAATATCAGAAGCTGTGATAGCCGTGTGGGCTGTGGAATATGATAGAGCTACTCCACATTTACATCAGTGTAATGGAAACCAGAATTTGCCTCTGAGGCTTGATATATCTACAGACTGTGGCCAAGAGATATTAACACTGCAGCAGAATAACCTGCACAACAGCTATGCAATCCTTGAGTAATAACCGCAGCAAGCATAAAAATCCTTGTACCCTTGATTGGCTAATAAAGGTTGCCAGTCAGACTCAAGGGATTTTCATGCTATCCAGTTATTGAGAAATGCCCATAAGGCATTATGCAAGTTGGCCAATGAGAATAGGTATAACTGCATAAATGAGAAATAAGTGTGGAAATATGGCTCAATAAGCAAACAAAATCCCTCCAGACTAGCTGGCTGAAATTATTCCATTTCAGAGTAATCAAGGGACAAAACTTACAGGGGGAAAACTATTTTCAAGCCATCCTGTGGTCTTTGCGCATGCAGGTGCACACACATGAACACATGACACTTTTTAAATAATTATTTTGTGAGTGACAGATAAAAAAATGTGCTTCTATACCGAAACATCCCAGAGCTTCAGGCAACCACTATAAAAGCCATTTCAGAGAGGCTGTCACAGTAGGACTTATTTTGAGTTTTCAAGAGCACTCCAGTACTCAAATATTTAAGGAGTTGGTCATTTTGCCACTCTTATTTTCTCCATAGCTCTGCCATAACACGCTTAGCAGCGTGTGTACAGCAGGAGTTAAATCAAACTTCCCTGACAGTTACAATCAGATTTTCAGCACAACCTGTATCGTTTGTTGCTGTCTCCAGGGTTAGCTTTCTGAATATAAAAAAACAGAACAAGAGGGAAGAGAGACTTCTCTGATGTACCAAAACTACATCAAACAACTAAACAGTCACCTAAAAGAGAAACTTCAATCTGTATAGTTATTACTTTGGAAACAAATACTGATTTGTAGCACTGTCTATGTTGGCAACAAGACAGAGAACTTCATGCTCGCCCTCTGAAAATGTCAAGGGGCACACATCCTTCACCACTTTCCTCAGTGCTCTAAAAGGAGGCTGACATATCAGAATAGAAGGGTTATTGTACAACCATGCTCCATCCAAAGTTAACTAAACCTTGTACATTTGTCTTGGACTTGAAACAACTGTATAATAGATAGCCTGGAGCTGTTCACAACTCTGCTAATGTGACCACTGAGCTAAGGGGAAAGCTGGAGTCATGAGATGCAGTCTGGCTTAGTGATCAGTTCATAAATACTGGGCTAAATCTGCTAGGGTAGAGGTTGGCAACATATCGCTTGCAGGCTGGAGCCATAAGATCCAGTCCAAGGAGCCAGGGCAGGTGGGGAGGAGGGGGGCTTTGGTGGTATTTCAGCAGTGGGGGCTTCATCCATGCTGCAGCTGGGTGCCAAGGAGAAGCGAGGGCACTGGTGGCAGCAGCGATCACATTGGAAGTGCTAGCCTGTCTCCATCCCAAGCTGGGTTGTACTGGCTTTATAAAACTGATGACTGAAGTGCTAAGGAACTGAGCCACCTGAAGTGGCAGACACATGCCTTAGCTCAACTTTCAAATACAAAAGAAACCATTAAGATACCCTATCAGCCACCACATAACCCTGCAGGCACCCAAATTTCCACTGGTAAAATTCTCTACATACTCAAGTTTCTGCTCCCGAGCATCCTCACAGCCACCCAACTCTTGACATCTGTGCACTACCTAAAAAACCTAGTCCCTGCTTAAACCCCTGCAGCATTCTCAAAGCACTCCCCTCTATCCATGGGGAATTTAGTAGGTGTCCTCATGGTTGCATATCAGATGAAGCTTCATACAAAAGACAGCTGCCAACAAGGCTTTTTGGAGGGCTGGTTGGATGTGTACGTGCACATGCCTCATTAAAAGCACTAGCCTAATGACTAAGAGCAGTGGAACATGGGAGACCCATTCACAAATCCCCACTGTTGGAGCGAAGACTTAGGATCATAGGAAAGTGGGGCTGGAAGGGATCTCACAAAGTCATCTAGTCCAGCCCCCTGTTCAAGGCAGGATCATCCCTCACTAAACCATCCCAGCCAAGAGTCTGTTCAACCTGCTCTTGAAAACTTCCAAGGGTGGAGAGTCCACAACTTCTCTCGGTCGTCTGTTCCATGCTTGACCACTTTCTTAGTCAGAAAGTTCCTCCTAATCTCCAACCTATATTTCCTCTGCTGCATCTTGAGGCCATTCATCCTAATCTGGTCCCCTATGACCAGAGAGAAAAACCCATCTCCATTCTCTCTATAATTTCCCTTCATGTTGAACATACCATGTGAATGCACTAACATCTGAGTTATTGGTCATAACAGAGTAGGGAATTTCCCATTTTCTTGTTTCTGAGAGAAGAAGATAACCTGATTTAGGCACCTAACCCCTGGAGAAGACTCACAGCAGAGAACTCTGATTGAAGGTAGGTGCCTATGTACCTTTGAGAGATGGGGCTCAAGCCCTGCCCTTCTCTTGGGCATTTCCCACTGACTACCTTGGACAGTTTCCAAATCAGTTTGTGGGTTTCTCATCTTCCCACTGAACTGTATAGGAAGCCTGGATATCCAACTCAAGACCCTTATTTCCTCTTGGTGAAAGAGCACCTGAAAGTTAGATGTTCCAACACTGAGTTTTACAAGACCCAAGTATCTTTGTGGATTTGGCCCTGCAGTAATCTATGCACCATGTCAATCCCTCCTAAGGCTACAGTACATCTCCAGACCAGAAAGGATATGTTCTATATTTATCCCTTCCTTAAAAGGGAAACCCTTAAAATTCCTACCTTCAGCAACGAAACATTTACAAAAAGGAAGAGATCAAAGGCCCTGAAAAAATACATAATTCTTTTATGCCTTTCATCTAAAGCTCTCTAAATACTTCAGAAAATGTTAATTAACTGAATTTAACCTCTCTGTAATATACATACACCAGCCCCATTTTCCAGAAAGGAAAATGGAGACATACAGGTTAAGTGTCTTGCCCACTGCCATATATGAGTCCCTGGCATACACAACAGTAAAACTCAGAAGTTTTGATCACTCACTAGACTACACTGCTGCTACAATATAATTTGGTTATTGGAGGTAAAGCGTTGTAGTGACAACTGCAACTTATATGGAGTTGGGATACATTCTGTGACACAGGAAGTGAATTAAGCACTTCAGTCGCATATAAAAGACCAAGGGCATTTATACACATATATTTA